ACAGGGACATGAACTCTAAGTTCTTTCATGCATACACCTTACAGAGAAGGAAAAGAATGCTATTCAGAGGCTCATCAAAGAGAAGGGTACCATTTTGAATCAGAACATGAATAGAGGAGCATATCACAAAATTATATTCACATTTATTCTCTACAGAAAGATCTCAAGGGGTGATGATATTTTACATCATGTTCCTCAGTCTATCACTCTGAAAATGAATAATTCCCTGATTGTTCCTGTGGATGAGGAGAAGATAAGAGCTGCACTCTTTAGTCTTGCTCCTGAAAAATCCCCGGGGGTGGACGGTATGTCATCAATTTTTTTCCAGCACTTTTGGCAAATTGTAAAACATGATGTGTGTGAGGCCATCAAATGTTTCTTCTCTTCTGGCAGAATTCTTATGTCCTGGAACTATACACATATCACTTTAATACCCAAATGTCTATACCCTGATTCTCTCAGCAAATACAGACTTATAAGTCTTTGTAGGGTGTTGTATAAAGTGATTGCTAAAATCCTTGCATCTAGATTTAAAAAGTGTATGTCTGAATGTATTAGTCCTGCTCAAACAACTTTTGTCCCAGGGAGACAACTCCTGGACAATGTTGTGATTGCTCATGAAATTTTTCACTTTCTGAGTAGGCACAATTCTGGTCCGAACATGTTCATGGCTCTCACAATGGAAATGGAGAAAGCATATGATCGGGTTGAATGGAAGAGTATCAGGAAAACTTTGAGCACAATGGGATTCCACGCTACAACAACAACAACAACAACATACCTAGTATATTCTCAACTAGTTGGGGTCTGGGGGGTCAGTTGTACGCAGAACTTACCCTTTTAATTACACAAGGAGGCTGTTTTCGTAGTGACCCAAGGTACATTGCGTCGTTTGATATATTTTTTTTCTAAAAACTACACTAATAGAAGAAACACGAGAATTTAATTGAGCTATTTTTATTAAATGGATAATGGCCCGTATTTCTTCACCATCTTATTCTTTCAGTATTAATGGCAAAATGTGTGGTTATGTCAAGGCTTCCAAAGGAATTAGGCAAGGAGGTCCATTGTCTCTCTACCAATTCATTTTGGTTTCTGAGATATTTTCCACATTGTTAAATTATAAAATCAGTCAGGGACTTTTTAGGGAGATCGGATTATCTTCCCAAGGGTCAATTATCTCTCACTTGTTATTTGCATATGATTCCATTGTATTTTGTAAAGCTGATGAATACCATGCTCACTCGATTCTAGAAATTTTGAGCAAGTATCAGACTTTTGCAGTTCAAAAGGTTAATTTAGCCAAATCTTCACCTTTTCTTAGCAAAATTGCTCTGACTATGTGAGAACTGGAATCTGTAATACTTTAAAGGAAGTTCCTGAGCATAAGTCTTCAAAATATTTGGGAGTCGTTTAGGGATTGGTAGATAAAAAAAGAATGCATTCTATTATGTTATTCAAGCAGCGGAGGGCGAAATATGCAGCTGGAAAAACAAATACGTATCTATTGTTGGAAAATAGGTGCTTATGAAAACTGTTAATAATATAATGCCGATTTTTGTTATGTCTTGTTTTATCTTACCAGTAGGTATTTGCGAGGAAATGAACAAGTTATGGCAAAGTTTTGGTGGAAGATGAGCAGCAGCATGGGCTACACTGGAAGTCATAGGATAAAATGTATGTACCAAAGAAGAATGGTGGGTTGGGTTTTCATGATATTAAGATGTTCAACAAAGCTCTCATCATCAAACAGTTATGGAGGATCATAAATCAGCCTGACTTATTGATAAGTAGAGAACTTAAAGGTAAGTATTTCGTTAATGGTTCCTTATTTGAGTGCAAAAGGCAGCATGGTGCTTCAAGGCTATGGAATTCTTGGACCCAACTGATTCCTTTACTTCAAAATAGAGTGGAGCTGGTGATTAGAGATGGTGAGGGGCCCAGAATTTCTGATTTCAACTGGGTGCCTGGAATTAAAGGGAGGAGTCAGTGGATGGGTCTTCTGTCAGAGTTAAAGCATTGCTCGGAATAGGAGGCTATGGATGGGATGCGGATCTGGTAAAAGCCTCTTTTCAGGAGAGGGATGCCGAGGAAGTATTGAAGATAAAAACCTTAAACCTAAATCCGCCAGAGAAATGGAAATGCCTTCTTGACACTAAAGTAAGTCTCTGTGGCCACTATGTATACATCATTACTGTGTGAAAAGATTGGAATGTTGGAGGAGGCAAAGAGTAGCAAGGTGGTTTTGCTTAACTCAAAAGCTAGAATGAGGTGCTGGAAATTGAAGGTGATGGGGAAAATAAAACATTGGTCTTGTTTGTTAAATGGCTTTTTGCTCTCAAAAGAGCTTTTTCTTCTCATTAGTTGTTTGACTTTTTTAAAAAGCTAAAAAATCTGTTTGGTAAATAGCTGATACAAACAGCTTTTTTGGGCCCATCCGCTAAGATAAAAAACGCTGCTATTAGCAGCGTTTCAATTCAGCGGTTCACTGTACAAAAATTAAAAGTCTGTCATTGCCCTTCTCACAATTTAAGAAAAACTCTTTCTCACATATTTCAGAATAACAAAGCGTCGTTATTCCAACCTCTCTCTCAAGTGCCGCCTCTTAATTTTTTCGATCTTGGTTCTCTGGGAAGCTGTTCGAGTTTCCAGGTTTGCTTTCCGACGTTTTCTTCTTCTTCTTTTTTTTTCTGATTTTGCATATTTTTAGATTTGTTTTTGTGTTGTGATGTGGGGAATTTTATTGAATATGGCATGTGGTTGCAATAACAAAAAATAGTGTTTCAATATCAAATACATTCAATGAAGTTGGTATAAAGTGATTGATATTTTGGTAGTGTACTTTTAATGGAAGTCTATTGAAGCATACATTAATTAATCATAAAAAAGAATTTAATTTGAAGTACGAAAAAAATTGTTACTTTGTGACAACTGATTTTGAACAAAATTCATTTAATGGGGTGCAGAGAATTATTAATGCAACCAACTCATGAAGGCAATCATATGGCAGCTGCTCTGATTTTCTGACTCTTTTAAATATTGTACAATATATATACGGGAGATGCTACGGTCCCGTTACGGAATCATTCCGTCGGGGTTTTGTAACCTTTAGATCAACTATCTCCGACGGTTACAAATTCCGACAGAATGGTTCCGTAACGGGTTTTTAATTAACCATAATTATAAATTGAAGAATTTGGTTTAACTTTAAGCAGATGTATTATTTGATTCCAGAAGTAGTAAAAAGAGAAAAAGAAAATGGAGATTTTTTTTACTAATTCTACAGAGTGCATGATTTGTCAAACACACACAATGCGTGAGGCTTGGGAAGTCTATTACAACATAATTGATTCTTGAATTAGCTATGAAAACTAGATATATATGTATATTTTCCGGATAATCTCCCCCACCCAAAAAAAAAATAAATAAATATTTTAAAATCTGTGGCTTTGCTTTGTATTAGATTGTGCATACATTAGATTCTTTGTATCATAGTTCTACAATGTTATAAGTTGGTTTACTTGTATTAGACTTTGAGTTACTGTATTCACACCTGGACTTTTGACACAATATTCTATGAAACTATTGATTGTTTCATGTTGGTTATTTATCTTTCTATGTTACCTCAAAAATGTTCTTTCAATTAGCATCATTAGCATCAAGACCATTACTGCTTTTTATGTTACTTTGTTAATGTTTCTAGATACTTAGTAAGTAGCACTCAAGGCACTAAGTGTGTATATGTAGAGAATTAGAGATACATTGGTTCAATGAAAATGTTTGTGAAAATGTTTACCTTGCGAAATTACCTGGAGAATATTTTGCATTGATATCCATGTTAGCTGTTATGAACATCTTTCTTTCTTTCTTTTTTTTGTGCAGCTGTTATGAACATCTCTAGCTTTTTATCTTAGTACATCTCTTAACCTGAATCTGGTGTTGAAATATGCAAAACTATCACATCTTATGTTTCTGATTAGTTATATATTTGTGTGCTATGTTAGAAAATTAACTAAGAAATTGTGTGCTATTCAAGAAATAAATTGTTACATTGTGTGTCAACTTCACAAAATTCGATTAATGTGATTTTATCTTTCAATTTATTTGGTGTTTAGATGAAAACCCCTATTGAAAAGAACCTTGAAGGAAGTGAAGGAGGTGAAAAAGACAACAAAGGAGGAAGAGTTTATTGGTCCAAAGAATTAATACACCTCCTTTGTGATCTTTGTATCGAATATGCTGAAAATAGTAAGGGAAGAAGTGGAGCTGTCACAGGTCAAAGATTGGCGTGGAAAAAGGTGGAATCTCAGTTTAAAAAAAGAACTAATTTGCCATGGGATAAAAATAAATTAAAAAACAAAGTGGATTGGATGAGAACTAGGTGGAGTATGTGGAAACAATTGAAAGGCAAGGAGACCGGATTAGGCTGGGATCATATAAAAGGAACGATTGATGCTACAGATGAATGGTGGACTTTGAAAATTAAGGTTGGTGTACTTTTAAGTTTTTCTATTACTTAGTTCCCATTTGTAAAGAGTGCAACTCTTAGTTATATATTTTCACGTGTCACGTTTAGGAAAACTCCAAGTATGAAGTGTTTCGAGAAGAAGAGATCGAGACAGAACTTGAGTATAAAATGGATCAAATTTTTGCAATTTCTGCCCAAGGAAAGCTTAAATTTACTCCAGTATCAAGTTCACATAAAAAACATGCGATGCAAGAAGTTGATGAGGTGTATGTTCCTTCTCCATTACATGAGAGCGACAATGAAAAAAATTGTGGTGACAATTGTCGTGCGACAGATGAATCATGGGATGAGGTATGGAGAGAGATTAGCCCGCCTCGCACATCTGCCCCTATCCCTTCTCCTAGTGACATACAAATTGAAGCGAATGATGGGACAAAAAGCAAGAGCTCTTTTGTTGGGGACTTCTCACAAAGTAGTAAGGCTGCAAGAACCAACTCAGGTAAGAGAGCAGGGGCTGCCGCAATTCAAGAAATGCTTGGAGAAATGATGCAAAAACATTGAGAAAGAAATAATTCAACATAGGAATTACTACTTCAGTGAAGAATATGATGAGTTTGTACATGGATATAGCAAAGTCAATGAAGGAAAAGTCTAACTATGACCTTATGTACTCTTCCAGATTTGACGGCTACTTCGCCAGAATTTTTCTTTGCTTGCACGATGTTCGAAGATCCACAAAAAAGAATTATTTTTTTTGGATTGCCTGATGATAACAGTAGGGTTGAATACGTTAAGTACATGTATAAGGAGCATAAGAAAACAAATAGTTAAGTTTATTATGTCTTTACTTTTGACGTTTTTTATAGTATGTCTTTACTTTTGACTTTTTGATTGTATGGTCCTGAATGATGTGTTCTTTAGTTTTGGGTTGTATGATGACGTTGGATGTTTATCTATTGATGGTTTATTTAAGTATTTGTACTTTCTACAATTAACTTTGTTAATCTATGAAGTTACTTTTGTAAAATTTATATAATTTTTTCATTCTAATTTTTGCAGGCATGGAAAGTATTGACGTGAAAATTATGCAACTTCTTTTATATGAGCAACAATATCTTCAATTCCTAGAGTACTTGAAAGAAGAAGATGAATTTTGGGATATGATGACTTGTGCTACAGGTTATGCATATTGGTATTTTTTGAATCATATATATAAGGAACCGTGCATGACATCATTTCTAACAGGAGAAAGATGGATAAATGAATTATTGAGCGGCCATGAAAAACGATGTTTTAATGCCCTTAGAATGAACCAGGACACATTTCGTCAATTATGTTCAGATTTAGAGAATAGATACGGTTTAAGATCATCAAGTAGGATGTCAGTATCAGAGAAAGTGGGGTTATTTTTATATGTACTTAGTAAGGGTGCTTCTAATAGAGATACTCAAGAGCGCTTTCAACATTCTGGTGAAACTGTGAGTAGAATTTTCAAACAAGTTTTAGATTCTATGGATAGCTTTTCAAGAGATATACTTGTACCGAAAGATCCCGAGTTCAAGGATATTCCAACACATATTTCCAATGATGAGAGATATATGCCACATTTTAAGGTAACTTTTTTGTTGCTTTTCAATTTTTCTTTTTTCTATTGAAGACGATGATAATATTATTTTTATTATATCATATTAGGATTGTATTGGAGCTATTGATGGTACACATATTGCGATAATCATACCTGAAGAGGATCAAATTCGTTACAGGGGAAGAAAAGAGATACTGACTACTAATGTTTTAGCAGTGTGAGATTTTGATTTGCTGTTCACATACGTTTTAATAGGATGGGAGGGATCAACACATGATTCTCGAACTTTCCTTGATATTATCAATGATCCAACCCTCAATTTTCCCAAACCTCCATCAGGTATCTCGTACTTATCATTTGTATGCATTGTTGCCCACGCGCAGACACACACACGCCTTCGATATAATTTAATTCTATTATAACTTGTGTATGTTTAGGTAAATATTACTTGGTAGATAAAGGCTACCCAGAAAGAAAAGGTTATTTAACGCCTTACACCAAGACAAGATATCATCAGTCTGAGTTTCGTAGTTCAAACCCAAGGGGGTCTCAAGAAGTTATTAATCGGACTCATTCATCTTTAAGAAGTTGCATTGAAAGGGCTTTTGGTGTTCTTAAGGCTCGATGGAAGATACTGCATAAAATGCCGAGATATTCGTTAATTGATCAAAATAGAATCATTTTTTAATGTTTTGCACTTCATAATTATATTAGAAGAAGCACAATTGGTGATCCGGGCTTTCGAGTAATTGATTCGAATCCTGAATTCATACCTCCTGATGTGTTCCAAGATGTTGAAAATAATTCTGCACAAGGTGATGGAGAAACGAGGACTCGGGAGATGGCAAACGTTCGTAATGAAATAGCTTCAAGTTTGATGGCATCCAGACGTCGTTCTTAGAGTATTTTTTTTTTTCTTTTTTTTTCTAATTGTAATAGCGGATATTGCAATTGAGTCACATTTATATTTTCTATTAGTATGACTTACTGTGGGCTTTGTTTATATGATGTGAACTTATTTACTCGATTATGAAATATTTTTATTTTATTATTAATTATATTTTTTATCATATTTAAATCACTTTAATAAGTACTTAAAATATTAATTATTTTTATTTCCTAATAATTATAGGTTCAACATAAATTAGAATGATATAAGTATGTTGATGCCCTTAAAAGTAATTTTACATGTTAACAGCTAATTAGAAAAACTAATTTTACCAAACACTTTTTTATAAAACGCTAACACGATCAGCTGGTCAAAACAGCTAATGTAATCTGCTGGTCAAAACAGCTAATACAATCAGCTAACAGCTAACAGTTAGTTACCAAACAAGGCCATTTATTTGGAAATGCAAATATATTGCCAGTTGGAGTGAATATTCAAAAGAGAGGTCTTAAGGTGGATGACATATGTAAAAATTGTGGGGAAGAAGAGGAAACTCTGGAACATGTGTTCTTTCTTTGTCCAAAGGCTGCCAGAACATGGAAGGTTGCTCTAGTTCATTTGGACAAGAGGAAGGCAGAACAACTTAGCCTTAAGGAGTGGTGGTGGTGGATATGCACAATGGACCACAAGAAAACCTCGGAGGATAGAATCCAACTTTCAACATACATATTGTGGTGGCTATGAAAGGCAAGAAATCTTTGGGTTTTTTGAAGTTTCTGGAAGCCGGAGTGGGTGATAATTAAGGAAACTATGCAAGATTTGAGAGATTTTAAAGCTAACAGAGATTGAAGGGCTGTTGTAGTGAGGTGAAAGTACTAGGTCTAGTGTCACTAGTATGTTTTTCCTTGCTTGTATGTTTTCATTCTCTAAGTAGCTTGTATTCTATTTATTATGTATTCTGAGGGATTGGAGGGTGCAACGAGTATTAGTCTTCCTTTGATTCCTTGTTATTAATGGTTAGGTATTGATCTTGGTTTGTTAGGCTGCTCGTGTGGACCAGGCTTTTCATTGTATTAGGCTTGGGGCTTTGGCCTTGTTCTTGGACTTGTATTGTTTTTGCGTGGAATGAGAATATCTATCATTTGATAAAAGAAATGTTAAGTACCTATCACTTCCAATAACATCATTGCTACTTTTATATTACGCCGATTTTAATTATAATGTATAAAATATTATTTAAATATAAACAAAAAATTTCACTAAATATACTCAATAAACTTTATTAAAAATTTAAAAATTCCTATCAAAATTCTTATTTTATATCCAATGGCCGCTTGTCCCGCGCAAAAATAAAATCTGAATGAATAAGGTGTGATTCGATATGGATTTGATTGTTTTTTTTTATTAATCATAGTTAATTTTGAAAAAATGGTATGATTAGTTGTTAGGGGAATATTAAAATAATATTTAAAATAAAAATAATTAAAGTTGCTTTGATGTAAAGTATGAGAAAAATGATTGTAAATGATGGTTAATTAAAATTGGTAGGTTCGATCCTACCCCGTGGGGTAGTGCCTCCATGAGGTTTTTTTTAATACAAAAGAGGAGGTGAAAGCGTAGGGAAATATTAAGCTAAAACTCGTCGGGATATGAGACCCCGATAACATCATGATCCAGCGAAGACCCCAAGCCGGAAGGGGGAGTCGAGACACACTGCAGTTCCAACGGAGAGGAGGCCACGAGAGTAGCCATATGGTCAGCTGCAAAGTTAGCCTCTCTATGAACGTGAACAACCCGAACTTGCCAGTCTCTATGCAACAGCTCCCGTATAGCCCGGACTATAGGCCCGTGAGTACCATGGTGGTCGCCAGAACTAAAAACCATAGTCGTGATACACATGCTATCCACCTCGACAATAACTTGGCGGTAACCCCGGTCCCATGCCAACTGCAAGCCCTGAAAAAGTCCCCACAATTCAGCTCCCGTGATGGTACAGCGGTCGATATTCATTAGGAAGCCAACAACCCAACTGCCCGACTCATCCCGAATGAGGCCGCCCGCACACCTCATGCCCGTGCTGCTCTGAAAAGCCCCGTCAGTGTTCACCTTTACCTAGCCCGGGTCAGGCGGACTCCAGTGAACTATGCGCATAGTGTGGACGTCAGCCCCGACTCGGCGCAACGTCGTAGCCATATTGACGTACGAATCCATCATCCGGGCGATCTCTAAAAGCTGTTCAGATTAGGGAACAATTATTGAATATACGATCGTTGAGCCACCTCTACAAACTCTACGTTGCATGGGCGAACGTGTTACCCCAATTGGAGGTCGACCGCGGGCCCGTGGAAAGATTAGACCGTATCCACTCCAACAGAGGCTGTTCAAAAAATCGACCACTGGAGGCGCCCGAAAGCAGTTGGTCCCACACAAATATCGCAAAAGAGTAGTCCGAGAGGGCATGTAGTACCGTCTCGCGCGCACCACAGAAGTCGCAAGCCGGCGAGACCGAGATGTGTCGCCGTACCCGTTCCTCGTTCGTAAGAAGACGCCCCTTCGCCACAAGCCACAGAAATTGCTAAACCTGCTGAGCCGTCGGTGCCCTCCAGATAAGCGACAAAAGTTGCTGTAACGGGTCCCTCATCGGAGATGATAGTAATTGGTAAACGGACCGGGTCGTGAACCTCCCATCATTATACCGGCCCCACAGAAGCCGATTATCACCGGCCGATGGTCGCGGGGAACGATAAAGGATGGGAGGCAGCCATGGAATAACTCCCATGCCCAACCGCCATGCTCGTCGACGAACTCGGCCACCGACAAGTCAAGTGTACCCGCGGGTGGAGGACTGATCGCAAGCCGTAGCAGGGGCCCGACGATGTTGAGCCATGGGTCAAGCCAGAAGCGGATCACGACGCCATTATCGAGACCCCAATGTGCCCCCTTAACTACCTCAGGCCACAAGTTCGCAATAGCCTTTATCAACGGGGAACCCCTTCGGCACGTAATTGAGTCTAGCCGTGGGGTCGGGGTGAGATTGTATTTCGCTGTTAGGACTCGCACCCACAAAGCATCCCAGTTTGTCAGATGTCCCCAATCCAACTTCATGAGAAGAGCCGAATTCATGAGCCTCACGTCTTTTATACCCAGACCCCCCTCAACTTTAGGTTTACAAATATCCTTCCAGGCTACAAGATTAAGCTTTCGTTGATCTGCCGAACTCCCCCAAATGAAGGCCCGACTACGTCTCTCAATACCATCAACAGTGGCCTGGGGCAACAGGGCTTATTGCATGGAGTAAAACGGAGCACACTCAACACGGACTGGGTAAGAATGACCCGACCTGCCAAGAAGAGAGACTTCATAGGCCAACCTGTCAGGCGGGATTCCGCTTTGTCCAGAATATGAGAGTAGGTCTGGTCGTCACACGACCATGAATCACCGGCATTCCAAGATATTTGCCGAGATTGTCAGTCCATCTAACATTGAGGGCGGCCGCCAGGCGGTGCTATTCCCAGAGGGCCACATTAGCCATAAAGAGGACCAAAGTTTTCTCCGAACTCACTCTTAGGCCCGAGGCACTGCAAAAAAGCTCCATGGTTCGCTGTAAAACGAGCACCTGTTCGTCGGATGCCTCCAAGAATTGAAGGAGATCATCGACAAACATCAAGAACGGAACCGCAACCGACCCACGGCCGACCGACAGCGGTTTCCATCCAGAGCAGTCAACTGCCTGGTAAATGAGTTGCGTCAGCCGCTCCATGCAAAGAATGAAAAGATATGGGAAAATGGGATCACCTTGACGGACCCCTTGGGTCGGTAAGAACTCTTCCCCTACGTACCATTCCATAGCAGATTCTTTGAGGCCGATCGGATACTCGCCATAGTGGTCATAACCAGCTTGGGTGGATAGCCAGCCTGCTGCAAGGTCTCTTCTATGAATTCCCATCGGAGATAGTCATAGGCTTTCTCGAGATCAATCTTGACAACCATGTAACCCTTCGCCCCACGTTTGCATCGCATGGAGTGGATAAGCTCTTGAGAGACAACAATATTATCCACAATCTAACGCCCCGGGACAAAGCTGGCCTGGGCCGGATGGATCAAATTTTGCAGAGATGCCTTCATGTGATTCACCAAAA